CTAGCAGGTATCTGGCCTATTCTTAAGTTACAGAAAGTCCCTGATGTTAAGATATAAAAATGGATATTTCCCTGGTTCTACTTGCCTTGTCAATGATGATTGAAAATGTACTTTCCTAAATATATTTCATCATGAATTCTGTCTACCCCAGCCATGTTCCGAACCCAAGGAATAAGAAGCTCCTTCAGAGCAGTTTGAAACTTGATGTAGCCATCCCGTCTAATTGTCTTCCTTTGATTGTATAAAAATTGGATGGGTACTTTTAACATTTTAAGGTTAAGTCCAAATCAGATATGATTCTCCTTCATCTGAAAGTCGAAGCAAAGCTAAAAAGGAAGCAGAAACCAGATTTCTGGGTGTACAAAGGATCCTTTTAAAAACTCCTAAACATGAACCAGATAATTCTGGCCATTTGACTAATAATGGTGGGATGGGATGGTGGGGAAAGGGGAAGAGAATGAATGAAAAATGGAAAATATACTTTGAAAAGCAATAGTGATATTATATAGGATTTTATGCAGAACTAAAACTTTTATCCAAAGCAAATATTTACCAAAGGTGCTATGGGACCTTTCCTGGAGATCTTTTAAGTAGACTCTTAAAACCGCCAATTGTTCTTATAAATGCTGATCAATCTACATTTTCAGAATATCTTAGAATTTACATATATATACTAGAGGCCCAGCGTACAAAATTCACGCATGGGTAGGGTCTCTAGGCCTGGCCTGTGATCAGAGCCAATCTTCCCCGCCCCCTGCAGCCGGCCCCTCCCCCTGCCGCTGCTGTTGGTTGCCCTCTGTGTGTGGGGCAACTGGCAGGGTGATTGGGGCCCCGCTCGCACCGCTTTGGCCTGGCACTGCCACATATGCTGCCATCCACCCCTGGTTCCCTGTTCCCCATCTGGAGCCTGCAGGCTAAGGGCAGCTCCTGTATTGAGTGTCTGCCTTCTGGTGGTCAGTGCGCATCATAGTGACCAGTCGTTCAGCCATCTGATTGGTTTGCATATTACGCATACACACACACACACACACACACACACACACACACTCTATCAGTCCGGTGCATGAATTCATGCATGGGTGGGGTCCCTCGGCCTGGCCAGTGATCGAGGCCTATCAGGGGGCCGGATGGCTTGGGGGAGGGGCTGGGGGAGGTTGGCTGGCTGGTGGGAGGGGCTGCAGGAGATTGGCCACCAGTGGTGGGGTGGGGTGGAGGGGCTACGGGAGGTTGGCTGTGGGAGCACACTGACCACCAGGGTGCAGCTCCTGCACTGAGTGTCTGCCCCTTGGTGGCCAGTGCACGTCATAGTGACTGGTTGACCGGTCGTTCCGGTTGTTTGGTCGTAATGGTCGCTTAGGCTTTTATATATATAGTAGAGGCCCCGTGCTAGATGGAGCCCGGGTGGGCTGGCTGATTGCTGCTGTACCGCCCGGCTGCCCCGGGTCGGGTCGCACACAGACACCCACTGCTCCGGGTCACAGATAGTAGGCCTGGATAGCAGCAGGGCAGGTGGAATGGTGCTGTCCTGCCCTGCCTGCAGTATGCAAATTAGCTGCCATCTTTGTTGGCAGTTAATTTGCATATCGTGCTGATTAGCCAATGGGAGGCGTAGCAAAGGTACGGTCAATTACCATGTTTTTCTATTATTAGATAGGGTAATTTGCCTAATGATGATAGTACCACAACCAAAATTCCCTAATGTTAAATTTGGGGACAAGTAAAATAAACTGTTAATCTGAAACTCTGTATCATGGATACAGATAGTGATTATAGCCTTGTGACTTTGCTAATAATATTTATTATGATAATCTATGGCATCTCTCCAGGAAGATTTCTCAGATTCATCAGGGCAGATTAAAGTTCATTCTGTTTATCAAAATGCTGGCAATGACTCTCTGACTTTGAAAGGTGTGCTTTTGCCCTTCTGTTTTCATGAGAAAAGTCTGCCTTCATTTCCTAATGAACGTCCCTTTGTTTTTCTTCCTTCCACCTACTCATCCTGAACTTGTTCATTTAGATAGGAAAACCCTGTACTATGTAGAACAAAATAAAAACATTTAAATGTGTGGTTGGGCAGACTTATTTTTAATCTGAGTCGTTTGGTGTAACACTTTGTGTTAGGTAATAATTAAAGTTCTGATAAAACTTACCAAAATGGAGTTTTTAGTTGACCATTTAATAACTTAAAGAATTTAGGGTGTTATTAGAATAAAAATAGATTTCACTATCTTGAGTCCAACTCTCTGGCTTAATATAGTATATTTTTTTTCCTGAGAAAACTTTCATTTCACTAGAAATTTATTTCAGGGGAACAAAACACAGACACATGTGTATGTGTATTAGATATGTGTTTGCTGGGAGCCTAGGGAAGTAGAAGGTTAGCATTGAGAAGAGGAGAGTAAAATTTAAGAAACGGTGCAAAGGAAAATCTCTGCATCCATTTGAGTGTCCGGTGTGTATGCCCTTCTTAAATTAGTGCAGGGAAAAAAATGTTCTGGTCAGCTTTAAAAACGTTTAATATATGGTTTGTTCTAATGCCTAGACACCAATTTTGGTAAAAGGAAGTTTACAGAGAAAGAAAAAATATTTCCCATTATCACATCAAAAAAATAACCCCCCGTGTACATAACATTTAAAATCTTATTCTTTTTGATTTAGAGTAAAGCACCTGACAAAAATAGTTTGTGAGCCAAGAAGGGTCTATTTTTTTAAATATTTATATTTATTGATTTCAGAGAGGGAGGGAGAGGAAGAGAGAGAGAGAAACATTGATGAGAGAATATCATTGATCGGCTGCCTCCTGCAAGCCCTACACTGGGGATCGAGCTGGCAACCCAGGCGTGTGCCCTGACTGGGAATTGAACCATAACCTCCTGGTTCACAGGTCAACACTCAAAGGTCTATTTTTCACAAGCTTTCAGATCACCAACATATAGGAAGTGCTGACTGTGCAAGGACTCTTTCATTGGAATTGGGTTCTATTTCACGTCGGAAATGGGAATATACAAGCGGGCACGTTGACAAGCCCTAGCCACATACATGCTGGTGGTGAAGTACCCAAAGCTACAACATTTAAAAAAAAAAAAAAAAGAAGAGGAAGAAGCAAATGGAGCCCCGCATTATGCTTGGACCCCAGTTAAATGCCCATCTGTGAGCTCGGCACCCAAGATAGTGATGCAGAAACACTGGTTAGAGGGTGCAGCTGCCGTGGTTTGGGAGATGGGAAAGAGGTACTGAAGCTGCTTTGCTCATGCAAGACTCACTCCTGAGGGCTTGATTTTTCTGGCACTAGTTTGGCCACTAAGCTCAAGTTTACCCATTAGGATCTTAAATTAAAACCACAAGCAATGTGTCTCATCCCTTTTCCTGCTTTAGCAGGCAAGGCAAAAACCATCCCCCCAAAAAACATGCTCCTGTGGCCATGTCAGGGTCATGTGTGATTTCAGGTGCGCTCCTTTCTCTCCCGGGAGGAAGCATGTTAGAGTGTAGGAGGGCACGACTAAATGCTGGAGATGCTCCATTGCATGCAGAAAATCCACCACCCACGAACTCGGGTACCTAATGCAACCTGATTTTTGCCATGGTCACCCTGTAGATGGATCAAACCCCACTCTTCTGACGTGATCAAGTCCAATGTCATTCTCAGGTTCCCCGCACCCCCAGGTGGCACATCCTCTCCTCCGAACTCTGCCCTCGAAGCACTGCCTCTGCTGGGTCAGATCAGTTTGGTGACCCCCTCGCCAGCCGGTGTGGGCCGTCCTATGTGCACACTAGCCAGATGTGAAGCTTTGCCGCATCCTCATTTTGGCAGATATTCACTCCTAGAAAGCAGATTTTAGCAAAGGTGTGAGAAGACAAGAGACTGGCCCTGCAGCAGCATAGACATTTTGCATTTGCATTATTAGGATCGTTTAAATGCTTTGGTCATTTCTGGATCCCGGAATTCAGGTCCTTTTTCTCTTCTCCTTTTCCCTTCCTGCCCCCACTAACCCCTCTTCTCTTTCCC